GAGGAGGAGGACGAGGAGAAGGATTATGATGATGAAGAGGAGACATCGGGTGTTTTATGAGGCCTTTGTTACTGGAAAGAAGTACATAAATATTAATATGCAATAAAAACACACACATACACACACACACACACACACACCGAGACTGACGACTGAACCGCACACACGTAAAACCCCGGCCGCAAGGAGAGGGAGCCCGGCCAATAAATCCGCATCACATAGAAGACACAACAACAACCTGCTTCTTCCACGACGTATATCACCCCCCCCCCAAAAAAAAAAAAAAAAAAAAAAAAAAGCCTAACACACCATATCAATGAATAAAATGCAACAAATATAAATAAAAGCTGAAGAAAAGGAGGCGCGCGCCGGGACGGGAGCAGCCACGAGTATCTCACGCACGAGACGCGCCACACGCCGGAAGTGGAGTGTCCCGGCGGCAGCGTCCCGTGTCCGCGGCGATCAAATTAGAGAAAAACACAACCCCCCCCTCTCTCCCTCCCTCCTCCCTCTTCTTCCCCCTTCACCCCCTCCTTCGTCTGGACGCGTCCGTTTCCGTGCATGCTCTTGCTCTGACTCGACCTTCGCTTTAAGGAGTTAGAGGGGGTCGAGGGGATGCTTACGTTAGGTTAGGTGTTGTCCGAGTGGGTGCTATGGAGGCGGTTTTAGTTACGAAGATGAAGGCAGAAGTGTGGGCGAGAGGGAGAGGCCTCTAGCTGAAGTCAGTTCCGACGGGCGGACGAATTTATTTGTTGGTCGTAAGGAAGGGGTAAATTGGGCAGGGGGGAGGGAGGGAGTAGGGATTTACAGAGGGTGGGTTAATGGCGAGTGTTAGGTAGGGGGTGCTGCTTCACCTCCCACATTCTCTCTCTCTCTCTCTCTCTCTCTCTCTCCTCTCTCTCTCTCTCTCTCTCTCTCTCTCTCCCTTTATCCCTCCCTCTCTCTCTCCCCTTTCTTACACATAGGGGGTGATTTAGAAGCAAATAAACAGAGAGTGTCACAACAAAAAGAATATCGAATGGAATTAAACTAAACCTTTTAACCCTTCCCCCTCCTCTTTCTCTCTCTCCCCCCCCCTCTCTCTCTCTCTCTCTCTCTCTCTCTCTCTCTCTCTCTCTCTCTCTCTCTCTCGCTACCGTGGGAACCTCCCCCGCCCCCCACACTCACACTCCGCTACAAGTAGAGGTCGTCGAGGAACAACCTGTACCCGCACATCCGTGATAGATGATGTCACACTTTATTATTATAAGGATCCTAAAGATAATTAGGAATGGACGATCGCCTTGAGGGGAATAGCCGTGTGTCTTGAGGGAACTCGCCCAAAAAGTAATCAAATATATTAAAACTTAATATTCATTTAAATCGTAAATGGAAAATTGCTAAGGTTAAGCGGGGGGGGGGGGTCGTAGTATCAATTTTAATGCTGAACACAGCAGTTTGCAATTCATTATCATTCAT